AGGGTCCTAGGATCGAGCCCTGTGTCAGGCAGGGAGCCTGCTTCTCCCTCTCCCTGCTACTCTGCCTGCTTGTGCTCTTTCTCTCTCTGTCAAATAAATAAAATAAAATAAATAAATAAAAATAGTTTCAATGATAAGTCATCAGCTCAGTAGAAGCAAAGTTCAAGGAAAATTATTTGACTTTCTAATCATTTCTAGTGTAAATCACTATTCTTTGGGAAATGTAACACAATGCAAGCTAAGCAAGAATATTGAATTCTGTCAGTTCACAGTGCCTGATGCATGGTAGGTACTTATTAAAATTTGTTGAATGAACTAATAAATGCGAATGAACATCTCAAAGATTAATCAGGTTTGTCAAATATAGTTAAGAAAATAAGGGAAAAAATAATCAAGATGCTATCCCAACACCCACTGTGGCCAATTCTAGACTATCAGTGTAGGGTTGGGCCCAGACATTGAATGACTCGCTCAAGGTCACACACTAAGTTAATAATAAAGCTGGAATAATCCAGGCTCCCTAATCTTAATAAAATCTTACTATACCACTAGTGCATAAACCAATAAACATGAAAAGGCCAAAGGGTTTATTTATTTAGTTTATGTAATGTCAAACTTCTGACATTTATAGAACAAAGTTGTTATAAGTTATAGCACTTGCTATATGATCTTCATGAGTTTATGACACCCCCATTGGCTAGACTTTTCATGTTTCTAATGGGAGAAGAAATGGACCCTTGATTTCCCTCCTCTCTTTCCTATAAATATGGCAGACTTCTCTGTGTGTGCCTTAATGAAGGAACAGCTTAGCTGGGCAGCACCCCCTGTTGCTAGGCTAGGGCTGCCCAAGTACTGGGGACATTTAAGAGGATGGAGAAAGCTGTACTTGTCAGAACACCTCTTGCAGCGAGTGGTTTATGTGAAGGAATGGTTTGATAAAGTCGATGGAAAGCTCTACCTCCCCACCTCACCTCTCCCTCCTCCTTTTCATCAAAGAGCAGATTGAACTCACCACGGATGGTGTTGAACCACCTCTTAATCTAAGGACGGGAGACTTGATAACTTCTGAGGGGTCATTCCAGCAAGTGGGTGGGTTGAGGAACAACCCCAGAGCCAAAGCTGAATGCCTTATAATGGTAGAGGGGAAATTAAGCACAGTTACCAAGGAGCCTCCTTCTGCCCTCGTTTTCATTGCCCATTTGTGTTGATTGGGCTTACAAAATTATAAAGATCATTCTTTCAAGGGGCACCAAATTATTAATTTTTTCAGGATGCCTTGGTCTGACTCTGCCATCATAGAGAAGAGAGTCTGGCCAAGCCAATGTCTAATGCTTGAGTTCTGTCTAGTTGTGAAGCAGAAGAAGAATAATTTCTGTCTTGAGATCCTTTATAGCTATAGATTCTAGGCTAGGTGATGGAAAACTCTATAAAAATTTCTAATAACTCTCATAAAATATATCAAAAGAAAGAAAAAATACAGAACCCTCTTTTTGGTCAAAATTTTGGTTCTAATGTTTGCTAACAGTCGAGTTGGGCTCTATATAATTCTTGTAATGGAAAAAATTAACTACCCCTAGAACAAAAGAAACCAAGATTTGAAATCAGATGTAGTCTAGTGCTGCCACTTAATTAGCTTCATGATCTTGCATATGGTATTTAACTTCTCTGAGACTCACTTTTCTCATCTGTATAATGGGAATGCAAACAGTGATTGTAAATTTAAATGAGATCATGTTTTAAGAAACATGGTGAGAGTTCCTGACATACAAATACTCAGTAAGCATTAGTGAATTAATTAATTATTAGTGAGTTCATAAATATTAGTGAATGTTACCAAATAATAATCTGTAAAGCTTCAGATGAAACTTTTATGAGGACGATAAGACATGAGGGACAGCTATTTGGTCTCAAGAACAACGTCTATGTTCAAAATTTATAGTCCATAAATAAATCAAATCTATTCACAAGAAATCCCCCCCACCCCGGGAAAAGAGAAACAAAAGAAAACAAATCCCAAATCTAAACTAAATGATCAAATTCCTAAGCATGAAAATGTTTTTCACCCCAGGAAAAAAAAGTTAATGGAACTCTTAACATGATCAAATGTAGTATGGAACACATATCATGTAAGAACCATATTAAATTCGTGAAGTGAAATCTCACAAAAATCCCACTGGGAATCTCCCTCAATGAATAACAACTTTTAATTAACTATTAGACTTCTCTGGGACCCTACTGACATCTTCTAAGAAAATATGTATTCCTTGAAAACACACAAAGATGGCCTAGATAATGCCAAACTTGTATATACATGTATACCCAGGCAGAAACACACAAAGTTCTGTATTTCCATGTTGCATTGATACATTAATTTTTGGTAAAAAAAAATTATTTTAAATGTTCTGGTACATTATATGTAACAGTAATTGTGTTCAGACTGCTTAGAGATACAGAAGCAAAAGGAACAGTTGGAAAATAACCAGACTAATCCAGTTAACTGACATATCTACTGTGGAAACGAAAAAATATATATATTTTGTATATATATACACTCCAGTAGGAACTGGCCACCTTTATCTTTTGAAATGATATTGTTCCCTGTTCAGCTACACAGTGCATTGGTTTCATTGTTCAGTTTTTAGAAAACAGACTATGTGCGGTGAACAAGAAAGAACATTAGATTAGGACTTGAAAAACCAGCTATGTGACCTTGGTTCAGGTAGTCTAGTTAACTTTTCTCTAATCTCAGTTTTCTCATCTGTAAAATGGCTCTAAAAATTCTACCCAGCTTCTTTCATAATGGTAGAGTCAACTCCCTCCTTTCACACATGAGAAAAACGAGTAGTGAAGTGACTTTCTTAAGGTCACATAGCGACTCTGTGACAGAATCGGGACTAGAAATAAGTCTTTTGAAGACTTGGACCTTCTACAGTAACAAAGCTACCATTGAAGCAATAGATAGGAGAGTACTTTGAAAGATGTGACAGAAGGGTTTCCTTCATGGAAGTAGTATGGAGTATAGCAACTTAAGTCACAATCAAGATCATCACGAGGCAATTAATTCAGAAATGCTTTTTGAGGCTGTACCTGTACATTCAGTAATAGCCATCTTTCTTTTAAAATCAAGTACAATCTGTTTCATTTCTCAACCAAGACAGAAGAAGTAAAGAATTAACTGAATTAATTCAGACACTGAAGTGGATTTTCAAGGACTTGACTTGCCCAAGCTCGTTTTCTACAAAGCTTAAATTAATCAGATAATTGCTAATTCTCCCTTTTGTTTTGTGCTGAGGAGAGTCTGTAGCTGTTAAAATGAACCTAGTAGCAGAATAAACAATCATTTACAATTTTCCTAAGTCCCAAATCTAAACTAAGTGATCAAATTCCTAAGCATGTTGTTTCTTCAGGCATCTTCTCCCCTCATTACTTTAAAAACTTAATTTTCTTTATTGAAATGTGAACATTAATACTGCTTTTGTGATTTAAAGAGGATTTTTTAAGCAAACAAATGAAAGAATCAACCTAAACTGATACCTCAGGATATTTTGAACATGCTTTGTTACACTGTCAGTAGAACAAAAATTAAATGCCTCTCCTGGCATGACTAAAAACAACAGTTAAATCTTTTAGATTAAATTCTTACTGACACATTTCTAAAATATAGTCAGCTTAGAACGGTTTTAAATAATCTCCACTTAACAGCTATCAAAGTTTTAAAATTAAGCAAACAGTGCTAATTACCCTCCTTCTAATATCTGGAGGAAAGCTTAGAATGTAATTAAATTAATTGGCTCTGAAAAATTAATTACATTTGAAATGAGGCTCATTAGACCTTTCCTTTTTCATCAGAATTTCAGACTAAAGGATAACTAGTCTTATCACTTATAATTTCTTTGTGGTTCAGTTAGCATAAAATAGACCATTGTGATGATAATTATTCTACCCAAATAAACTTAAGATTAGAACATTAAAGTGAACTAATGTGAACATGGAGCTCTTACTTTTCCACTGTATTAAATTCTTGCATCTCAGTGTGTGTGTGTGATCATTGAGTCAACAAAAAAAAAAAAAAAAAGAAAGAAAGAAAAAAGAAAAACCCAAACAGTGAACTTTCAAATTCCGCACCATGATGTATATTTTGGTTTTGCCAAGTTGAGTATAAACTAAAATGAAAATGTGACTAAAAACTATATGTAGCATAGTAACTATTGATTACTCAGATAGTTTTCATAAAGAGTTGGCAAATTTTAACTTACAACAGCTGTCACTATAAATTTAAAGTAAATGTTACTTTAGGAACATTAACGTCGGGAATGTTCCTGTAAATAAGGCTTGTGCTATTCCCAAAGGTTACAGAAAAATCACTAGCGAATTTTTTTTAACCAAACTTGGCATCACTTTATGCTCCCTGTTTTAAAATTCTTCAGTTTTACACATAAAAGGCTTTAATCATACTTGAATGCCTTTTCAGTAATTCCCTTGAGGATGCAAACTGCATAAGGAAATGTATTTGATAGGTTTACATCTTGGAGGTGGGAGAATAAATAAACTAAAGGAACAGTATTGCCAGCGATGCACTATACTCTTTTATATAAGAAAACAAGGAAAGCATTGGCAGCCAGTAAAGTTCCACTGTCTGTTTACTAAATAAAGTAACCTGTAAATACTTAGAGCAATTATAGCTTACAGATCTCGGGCTCTGAAGGCGGGTTGTGTGCTAAAGTTAGCACTCAGCTTTCTCCTGCTTGAACAACTCATTTCCAAGTACAATTTGCATGACAGATTGCAAACCCTCTTGTATGAACTATTCAAATGGCTTTGAGAATTATATTTCCTCTGACACATGCATACAACATCATGCAGCAGTCGAGTAGAGAAATGCCTGCTTTTAATTGATTAAACCCGTCTTTTTCTTAGAACACACGGGAAAAGTGAAGTGAAAGCTCCACAAAACATAAAATGCTGTACCTGCAACGTGCTGAACTCTTTCCAGTACTCACCCTTTCCGCAACTTAGTTTCTCGTTGGCAGCGCTTCTATGCCAAATGCTTCCACCGTCCCAAAAATGAATGTCAGCACAAGCCCAGACGAAACTTCAAATCCAGGAAAATAAAATTAACCATGCAGATCAAAGGCAGAGGAGCAGGGAGATGAAATGCCCGTAATCTGATCGGTGATCAGTTGCAGAACATCAAAGGCAGAGCTGAGTTTATATATATGCACGGATATCAAGAAAGTTTGCTTTCGGCAGGTAGTCACCCTCCCGCCTCCTAGTCCACAAATTCTTTTGTTTAACACGGATCACGTTATTTTCCTCTCTCTCTCTCTCTCTCTCTTCTTTTCCTCTTCCCCTTTGCAACCAGGCAAGACCGGTGGCTCTCCCAAGCCTGGGCTGAGTGGCTGGATCTGTAGCTTTCTCGGTTCCCAAGCTGTGTTGTGGATTGTGTGTTGGAAGCTTTGCCTAGTGCCAGCGGGTTCTGCTTTATCCCTTTCATCTCGCTGAACTGCAGATCCCATGACATCATTCAGCGCCGTGGGACTGGTAGGAGAGCTATAATTCAGCCTGTGGGGGAGTACAGCTCCAGAGAAGCCAGAGTCTGCCTGATTTCTAATCACGTTAGGCTATTGTGCCTCACGCAGTACAGTTTCTGTTATCTGTTTCCCAGTTGGAAAAGACAGCGATTGCTGGAGCGTGATAAGATCCCAGATCCATCTGGGTTCCAAATGACAGCATTTAATTGCCTCTTCGTTGATAAGAATCACAATTTTTCACAAAGACTGGGTGTCATATATTCAGAGTAGTTAAATATCACTGCAAGACCATTCCAGAAAACACCCAGGGGCTCTGACACACGGAGAGGGTAAATACTTTGAAAATGTGTCTTTGTTTTAAGACGTGACACATCTTTAAGGATTTAAAGTAAGCTGTCTTTTCCTTGAAACTTAAATTATTAGAAGTGACTGTCAATTAAAAAGCGGTGTATTCAATTAAGGTAATTATTCAGCGGATAACCAACAATTAATCAGTGCCACCCTTTCACTAAGCCTTTGGGCAGACACTTACTCTGACTCTTGGTCTTCGTCAGGGATTCTGAAAATTAGATTTTAAAACAATGTGTAGTTTGTAGATAGGTATAATTCAGTAACACCTGTTGAGCATTTTTAATTTCACAATAGAAAAGAATTAGGTAGAGGAAGTCACTGTGCTAGCCCCAAAGCTTTGTGTGCCTTTAGGACTGTTTCTCACAAATCCATAGTTTGCACTCTTAACTCATGAAACATCCCCATATTAGTCTAATTCTCCATAATTTAAAATCAAGGCTATTGCACAGTATTTAGAATTTTTTCACTTGGTCTTTTACACTGGTAGATTTAATACTATAAGTTTATTTTATTTTTAGTACTTATCAAAATAGAAGATAATCAGAAATTTCATCTTCATTACAATCCAGGATTCAGTGCACTTCTGAATTCCAGACCACTCTTACGTGGAGCGAAGGGAAATTTTCTATTTCGTAATGGAAATTTGCCAACTTTTGGAAGGACAGTTAAAAAACATATTTGAAAAACCTAGAAAACAGTAGAATTTCATCTTTCTTTTTTTTTTAAGATTTTATTTATTTATTTGACAGACAGAGATCACAAGTAGGCAAAGAGGCAGGCAGAGAGAGAGAGAGAGGGAAGCAGGCTCCCTGCTGAGCAGAGAGCCTGATGCGGGACTCGATCCCAGGACCCTGAGATCATGACCCGAGCCGAGGGCAGCGGCTTAAACCACTGAGCCACCCAGGTGCCCCGAATTTCATCTTTCTTTATATAACTTCCCTCCCTAATTAGTTTTGTCTAAATTTCCCCCAAAGTGTTTGTAATATACCCTCTAAATCTCCAAGGAATTTTAATAGCAAAATACTGGTTTGAACAGTTAATGAGCTCGATATATATAACGTGGGAATGGTCACGTTTATTTCTCAGCATCTCTTTTATAATTTTTCTACCTTATACATCATTTCTCTAAGAGGCACAGAGCTCAGATAGTGTTTGAAGTGCAGGTGTGATTCTTTATGACTTCTGGAAAGTAGAGCAGGAAAAATCCTCTGGTATCTGGACTTCACATAACGTTTCCAGGGCTCCTTTGAATACAACAAAAATATTTAAAAGTACAAAATATTTCCAAAGAGGCATGTGCCCATTTCTTCCTGGAGGTCGTCCAGCCATGCGACCAGCATGAAATCCGTATTCCATCACACAACACTCAAGAACAGTGTCTCTGATGGTTGACGACACAACTGAGTGCTCTGTAAGGTTCTTTGCACCAGCAAGTAATCCTAGAGTCTTAACAGAGTTCAGCACCAATGGAAATAGGTGAGGGATTGAATTAGGATTCTTGCCCTTTCACTGGAAGCTTACAGGAGGCATTTGAAAGCAGGGACTCACTTGAAAACCAGTCAAGTGATCCTTGATTTATACGAATCTCACCAAGGAAGATGGGTTGTTCAAAATACATCTAGAGATGCAGTATCATCTCCAATGGAAGAGTTTATTCACCAAGTCACTGAAAATTACTATGAATTGGTCCTCTTGTGGCCCCAAACCCTCCCGCTCACCCCACGTGTGAGATGAAAGGGGAATGAGGTTAGGGCCCCATCTGTCGCCAGGAGCAGAGTGTGGCTAAAGGCTCTCCCTCCTCCAATGAGGAGTGACCTCTTGACCCGGGGCTCATTAGTGCTGTGCTTCAGCCCACGGAGCTCCCTTCATTGTGGAGATGTGACCTGGACCATTGTTATTCCCCAAGGGCACCGTGAAGGGGAGCTACTGCAAAGCTTTTTTCTTTCCCTCCAAGAAACTTAGATCAGTGAAATGAAATCGGATGCCCTGGTGATGAGAAATATGTCACTACACTCTACTTAATTATCTGTTTCAATAACACCAGGTCACAACATCTTATCATGACCCCTGGTGCCACATCACTTATCAATGGCTTCTTTTACTCTCTCCTCCAAATGGCGTGTCAGCCCCCGTGCTGTGTTAAAGGCGCCGGGACAGCAAGCTGATCCCCAGTGAGGAGCCTGATGCTGGATTTCACTGTACCGAAAACTGAGGAAGCTTCTATTTGTCCTATCAAAGAAGGGCACGTCTCCCCGAGATTCTTAAGGGGGCGCCTCACGTACCCCACTATTAACGCTGAGTGTTAGCCTCTTTCCAACGGCTGAAACATGCTTTCTCTGTTTCGCTACCTTGACGGACGAATCGCATCCATCCCTACAATCCTGACATACGGGTTCAGGTAATACAACTCCCCCCACCCCCCATCCCTTTTCTAAGTTCTTGGAGTTACCTGGAGATCTTTTATTTTTTAAATTTTTATTATTTTTTAAAATTTCTCTTCAGTGTTCCAGAATTCATTGTTTATGCACGACACCCTGTGCTCCATGCAATACGTGCCCTCCAAAATACCCACCACCAGGCTCCCCCAACCTCCCACGCCCCGCCCCTCCAAAACCCTCAGACTGTTTCTCAGAGTCCACAGTCTCTCATGGTTTGTTTCCTCCTTCAATTTCCCCCAACCCACTTCTTTTCTAATGCCTTCTTTTCTCGACTTTTTGTTTAGATACATCCTGGCTTATATCAGCTAACATAGCTGTATGTACATAAACGGGGAGGAGCCACCATAGAACTTGTTCCATTTACATACTTTGCGAGCTGTGTGAAGTAGCTCGATGCTACGGGAAGAGCATGCGCACTGGAGCCAGAAGGGCCTAGGTTTAATCTTTTTATCTGTAACTTAATAACAGCTTGAACAATTCGGGCAAGAGACAAAGCTTCATTTTCCTGTACTGCAAGAAGATGACAGCATCTATAGTCTTGGTGTTGTTGAGACAAGCTTATGCAAAGCAGATCAAGCAATCCCACCGGAGTAGTATCCAGAGGAAAGAAGATCAAAGAATGAACAGCTTCGTGCACCCATGTTCGCTGCCGCATTATTCACTACAGGCAAGACAGGGAAATAAGCTAAATGTCTATCCACAGATAAGCGGATAAAGAAAATGTGGTGTGTATATATGTAAAATACTCCATTGTGTGGCATATATATCCAGATATGTGTGTGTCTGTGTGTGTGTGTGTGTGTGTGTGTGTGTGTGTGTGTATCTCCACACAATGGAGATTTATTCAGCCTTAAAAAAAGAAGGAAGCGCTGACATTTTTGACAGCGTCTGGGAAGCTGGAGGATATACAATAAGTGAAGCAAGCCATACACAGAAGGATAGATATTGCATGATTTCACTTATACATGGAATCTTAAAAAACAAACAAACAACAACAACAACAACCTAAAAAAAACCCAAAAGCAAAACAAAAACAAAAAGCCCCATCGAACTCATAGTAACAGAGAATAGGATGGTGTTAACCAGAGCCTGGGGTGTGGGGGAAAAGGGGCAATTGAAACAAAGAATAGTGGTTACCAGGGGCTTAGGGGAGAGGGTCATTGGAAGTTATTGTTTAACAGGGACAAATATTCAGTATTGAAAGATGAAAAGAGATCTGGAGATGGATAGTGGTGGTGCGTGCACAAAAATATAAATGTATTTAGTACCACTGAAGTGTACACTTAAAAATGGTAAAGATAGTAAATTTAATGTTATGTGTATTCTACCAAAATTTTTAAGATGGAGAAAAATTGAAAAATCAAGCAGAAAAGACTCAACAGGAAAGCCAAGTTTCATTTTCTTTCTCCATAAGAATTAAAGAGCAATAGTGAAACACCAACACTTACTTGGGAAATCAAACTCAAATTTGAGTTGGGCTCAATATTCCAAAGGAGCAGGGCAAAATATCGCATGGGTCCTTGGTCCAGTTAATCTGATTTTGAGGTAACCCAGATGTCCTCAAGTCTTCAGAAGCCAAGGACCATGCTTATATTATCTGATTACCCTCTCCATGACCTTAAAAAGAAATGTTTCAAGCCATAATGGGTTGAATTGCAGCCCCTAAATTCATATGTTGGAATCCTACCCCCCAGTACCTCAGAATGTGACCTCCCTTAGAGGTAGGGTCTTTATAGAAGTAATCACCTTAAAATGAGGTCATTATGGTGGACTGTAATCCTATATGACTGGTTTCTTCATAAAAGTCTGTAATTTAGTTACAGAGACACACAGATGGAAGATGACGTGAATAGACCCAGAGAGAAAATGACCATCTACAAGCCAAGGAGAGAGGCCTGGGACAGATTCTCCCTCACAGTCTTCAGTTGGCACCAACCCTGCCAACATCTTGATTTCAAACTTCTTGCCTCCAGACTATAACTGTCAATTTCCGTTGTTTAAGCTCC